TAACCTCAGCTATAGAATAATATAACACAAGAATAAAAGTAGATGAAGATTTATTTTTTACATGAAAAAGAAAAATCAAAGTCATTGTTATAATGAGAGTACGGAAGATATCAACAATTCTAAATTATGGGTAACTTAATAACATGTACAAGAAACCAAAAAAAAGGAAGAAAAAAAAATATATAAATAAAAGATTTTAGTGTTGAGATATATAAAAAGGTAAGAGTTATTTGATTTTTCGAGATGAAATAGTTTTTTGAAATAATTCATATGGTCATGCTATATAGATAAGATCGCGTAACTGAAATATTATAATAGATAAAACTAAAACAAAAAATATAGACAATTGACATGATTCTAAGAAACAAATAAAAATATAAATAAATAATTTAAATTTTTATGTAGTAATTTTAATAAAAATTAAAAGTCAACTTTCATATTAAATACATAAAGGAAGGAGAATTTAATTTAATTGCTTATTGAAAGTGATACTAAAATAATAATTATTACATTTATTAGTAGATTTATGGTATACAACAAACAAACTTCTTTGTTAAAACATTGAACTAATTCAATACCACGCATTTAGAAAAATAATATAACAATATTCATATTATAGATAAACGCTAAATAGAACAAGTAAAATATTATATCCATACTTTCAATAGAGATAATATGATTTTATCCATACTTTAAATTTATTTGACAAAAATAAGTAAATAAATAATACTCAAAACATATTATTGATAAGTTTGAACAACGAGAGAATTTTGAGAAATAGTCACACAAGATAAAGTCAAGTTAAATTTTATGAATAATACAAAACTATATAAATTTTTATTTTATTAATATTGTAAGTTACTAAAAAATTTATGTCATAATTTGATAATACGAATTAGAATAATCAAGGAACAAAAAAGTATAAATTTTAGAAAAATATAGAAACAAAAGACTTATAAGTAGAATTATGATGAGAAATTCATACATATATTCATAATTGATATTATAATAAACAAAGAGTCATAAAGGAAGAATATTAAAGTAAGAAAGAATTCCAAGCGATATCATAAAATGTATATATTAATTAATTTTTTCATATAGGAAGTTTTAGTTATTAAATAGAAGAATATAACTCATAAATCCAAATTGAAAAAAGTAATATTACGGATACTTTATATTATATATCTATATATATATATATATATATTATATATATATATAATATACTGATTATATATATATAGGATGTGATTATTATATATATAGGATGTGTTTATTCAGCTTTAGTGCTTGAATTAGCGTGGTTTTAAGAAAAAGATTTCCCAAAATTTGATTAAAGAAGAAAGTCTCGACAGTTTTTATTCACCAGAAAATATTTTCAAAAAGAACTGTTTTTGAGAATTTTTCAAAAGGGATAATAGAAAAAATCTCTCGAAGTATCTCTAAGTCCTTTAACTACATTAAAAGAACAAATCAAAATTTCTTTGAAATGGTTTGAGGCTTATGCTGAATACAACAATTAGATTGTTCCTTTTTCTAAATCATGTTATGTTTCAAAAAATTTGGAAAAACCTCCTCCGAGAAGAAGTCCTCTCAGAACTTCCTCCGGCTACAAGGATTCTTCAACAAGTTATTGCAAATGCTTCAGTGAGTAGCTAATCCTTTAATTTAAAAAAATGAAAATGAGAGCTATTACAGGCTAAAGAATCTTAAGAAGTTATTTTGAACAATATAATTAATACAAATAAAATTTGACAAATCCCTTGGAATATTAGTTACAAACCAACTTCAGCATCCTACTAGTTCTAAGCCAGCAGATACCTCCACTTCTTCAATCCTTTGTTTAAACCTGTCATGAGACCCCTTAGAACTTTTCACTACGGAACTGTTCGGATCCACCAAGCTTAAAGACCATCCTAGTTTCTCTGACCTTTCAGCGTAGGATCCTAAATAATTGATGAAGAAAACCCTGATAGTTCAACGATACTCCAACTAAGGAGTTTCTGTCCATCTGTTCTCGCGAGAAACTGATTCGACCAAGACCAATTCGCAAGTCAGAGCAATTTATGAAAATCCTTCCCTTAGAAATTAACCCTGTCAGAACTCGGATCTTACAACTGCGTCAGCCCCAAAGACTTTACTATTCTAGAGCTTACCCATCCTGAATGTAGCCTTTAGAAGAGAACAACGATGTTATGCAAACCAACCTAATAATGCCAATAATATCTAGAATGGAAAATAGATGAGGTTGTTCTGAATTAATATTTTTGGCCAAATTACAAGCAAATGCTTATGTAGCCACTGCTACCGAACTTCTTCATAACTGTTCTCGACCAGCTTACTACCCATGTCTTAGTAGCAGGTTTCCACAGGTCAAACTTAAAATGATGGTGAGGATACCCATTTAGCAAAGAAGATAAGAACCAAATTCTCTTAAGTGTGCCGAGTTGATTCACGGGAAACCAATTTTAAGGCATGGCCTTTAACCATTCCTCTGAATTCAACCAACACCTTATTTACACCATTATCAAACTTTCATAGGGTCCAGGTATCTTTAGGGAAAGATCTTCTGAGATACTAAAACCATAGTGTAAACCCTTTCTGAGTTTCAGATGGTATAAGGATTCTTTTCTTACCCGATCTACGAGATAAGCCTGATGGAAATATCCCATATTGAAAGGAAAATTCCTGACACGGTCTACATAAAGTCTCTTAAGGGATTTGAGTTAAAGAAGAACTCCAAAATGCAACATTCTGGTTGATATTTATTCCTTAACGAACAAATCACTATGGCCAACTCACCGTCCTCATTCAACATGTCCGCTTCAAAATCTGTCGACATGATAAGATTATTTGAGACATATTAGCCAAAGTAAACAAGGACTCCCGAGATCTAGGATAGTTTCTGTGAACAATTTTGGTTAAAACCACCTTGTTAGCAAAGCCTCACTAAAGCACGAAGCAACCAAGGGGATATGGAGATTACAAAATATAGGCTCTTCTGCACCCAAGGTTTAGGAAGTACCAAGACCATTTCTCTTCTAAACTCCAAAACCTTTCCCAGTAAAAATAAATTTCAACAACTTCCAAACTCCCAATTCTGGCAACAGGTTTCAAATGCAAACAAACCAAGCCATATAGCCACAAATACTGCATAGTTGTCTAAAAAGTTAGAATCTTGATTAGATGAGTCTGTCTTAACCAGGATCGAACAACTTTTATAGAAGATAGCGGACACTTTCTGAATGTTTGCTGTTGATGAAGCTATGAACAGCAATTTAACCAACTCGAAGATGATCACACAATTCATCTTCATCCCAATCTAGTCAAGAGGAACTGCAATTAATGTACTCTCCAAAGAAAAGATCTTCTTCTTGAAATAATAAGCCAATCTCTCAAGATTCTTGAGGCAAAGAAGTATTACTCTCGAGCATTTCAAACGAACAATAGATAAGCTCCACATATCTTCCTCTAATGTCATTTACCATCATCCTCAAGTTGCCAATGACGTTACAATATATTATGATTATCCTCAGATAGACTTCCCTTCCCAAAAAACCAACGGTACTAATCTATCGCAATGATTCTCCAAACTGAGATAGCATCCTTAAGGAAGAAATTCGAGAAATTAAGGGCTAAACAAAATTAGACCGTCTTGTTCTCCAACAACTCTCCTATACCAAAACCTTAGAAGTAGCCAAACCAACTGATGTTAAAACAGGTGAACAAGAAGTTTTTTTGCAAACCACCTCTCCAGAATCTCCATAAGAAAATGGCATATGAGGAGTCATTCTTAATTGTCAATAAGTCCTTTACTTGGATATCATCGCCTTATTTGATACAGGTGAGATCTGAACTGCATACAAGAAGGCTCTATTCAACCAAAATTCTTTGAAAAAACCAAAGAAGGTCTTAGAGCTGCTAACGGCGGGAAACTAGGAATTAGCTTCAAACTCTCCAATGTGTTGAAGTTAGAACCTTTCGAAATTCTCTCCATTGTCAGCCTCAAGTTCTTTCATATTAGTAAAAGACCTTACTAATCCAGTTATATTAGGAACTCCCTTTATCGAAGAGCTCATACCATTTATGGTAAGAAAACAAGGAATTCTAATCAAACGCATAGGAGGTAGAACTTTTCTTCCTTTCGAATAGACCTCCAATGGCAAAGTTCTTGTCTCTACCATAAAAAGTAAAGAAGCACAGATTAATTTTCTCAAAGAGGAAGTAGCCTTCCAAAGGTTACAACAGCAGCTTCAAAATTCTTCTTCTCCAATCTAAGATAAAAATTTTAGAAACCAAATCCAGGAAGAACTTTGTGCTGACTTAGCCTACAGCCTTTTAGAATCGCAAGAGACACATGGTTAGGCTCCCTTACGAACCTGACTTTGATGAAAAAACAATCCCCACAAAAGCTCGTCCTATTCAGATGAATCACGAGCTAACCATTCATTGTCAAAAAGAAATCAATGATCTTCTTGAAAAACGCATCATCTCTCCAAGCAAATCCCCTTGGAGTTGTGCTGCCTTTTACATCAATAAAAACTCTGAAATAGAAAGAGGTGTCCCTCGATTAGTCATCAATTATAAACCTTTGTACAACGCACTTCGCTGGATTAGATACCCTATTCCAAACAAAAAGGATTTACTTCAAAGGCTTTATGCTGCAACTATCTTTTACAAAATTTGATACTAAAATCAGGTATTTTGGACAAATTCAAATAGATACCCAAAGAAAGGTATAAAACTGCCTTTATGGTACCATTTGGACAATACGAATGGAATGTAATGCCATTTAGGTTTAAAAATGCTCCTTCCGAATTTCAAAGGATAATGAATGATTATTTTTAATTCCTTTTTACTAAATTTTATTATTGTCTATATTGATGATTGTTTTAGTATTTTCTATTAGCATAGATCAACTATTTTAAACATACTTAAAGGTTTTCGTTAATGTTATACAAAGAAAATGGATTAGTTTTATACAAAAACTAAATATAGTCTTTTTCAAACCAACATCCGATTTCTTGGGCACAATATTGAGCAGGGAACCATTGTCCCTATTCAACGATCCATACAATTTGCTGACAAATTTCCTGACCAAATTTTAGATAAGACCCAGCTTCAAAGATTTTTAGGATGTGTTAATTATGTATCGGATTTCATTCCAAGCCTTAGAAATTTGCTAAAACCCCTCCATGATAGGTTGAAAAAACCTCCACCTCCGTGGACTTCAGTCCACACCAACGTTATCAAAGAAATCAAGTTGAAAGTCAAAAACCTTCCTTGCTTATCTCTCCCTGATCCTTCTGCATTCAAAATAGTTGAGACTAATGCATCATACATTGGTTATGGTGGTATTTTAAAGCAGAAAAAAGATGAGAAGGAACAAATTATTGCATTTGCATCAAAACATTGGACTAATTCCCAACAATAGTATTAAAAAAAATTTAGCAATTGTTTTATGCATTTCTAAATTTCAAGCTGATTTATTAAATTAAAATTTTTTGTTAAGAATTGATTGTAAAACTGCAAAATTTGTTTTACAAAAGGATGTACAAAATCTTGCTTCTAAACATATATTTGCTAGATGGCAAGCTATTTTATCTATTTTTGATTTTGATATAGAGTATATCAAAGGGAGCTCAAACTGTATTCTGGATTTTCTTACCAGAGAATTCTTGCAGGGAAGATAGATAAAACGCCAAGAAAAAAGAAAGCCGATATTTCAGATCCTCCAGTACCTGCTCTTCCTCCAACAGAGGAAAATATTACTGAAACAATACCCAAACAGTTTGATACAAATGTTGTTTCCACACAACAAATAATTTCAGTTGCCTCCAAGCAACTCCCAAAAGGCGCAGCTGGCCCAAACCAGCCCAAATAAAGAAAGCCATCAGACTACGCCATGAGTAGAGTCCCCCAAGTTCGTATGATAGAAAGTTCAGGACCAATCTCAATTTCCAGTCCAAAAAAATGGGCAAACCTAGTTGAAGAAGAAGAGTCTCAAGAATCTCAAGCTCAACTAGCACAAACCATGTCTTTTCCTTGGACAGAAGAAGAATTCATGCAATGGCAACAACTCATGGGCTTTAAAGATCAAATGACCATGCCTGCCTTATTTAAAAAACAATTAAGAAATCAGTATCAATTGTATAAAAATTATTGTTCCAATGTAGCGGCACATAGCCACGCATCTTCTTCCAACTTCGTGGCGGCCCAAAGTTACACGGCCTCTTCACTTCCTGTGGCTGCTAGAAGCACCGCACAAAAAATATTGGAGGCTAAAAGCCCCATTGCAGGTACAGGGTGTCCATCCAACATCCCAAAGACTACAACCAGCAGGTACTTTCTTCATCAGTGCCACCAAGGGGACCGGAAGCGAAGCCCCTAAAAGATTAGGAGAAAATTAAATGGATGCAAGGACAGGAAGCGAACAACAAGATAATTAAACCTGCAGAAGATACAGTTAGAGTGCAAGCAAATAAATTTATGGGGCAGAGCCGACCATGTAAATAAAATGCGATAAAGTAAATTAGGCGGTTTAACCGACCATAATGCAGAGTAATATAAATGTAGACTTGGGCAAGAGTAAAATAAATATAAACTTGAATATTATTGAAACTGAAAAATTGATAATACAAGTTAAAAACTTATATTAATATAGTAGAGAGAGAGAGCTCTAACCAATTCTAGAGAGAGGAAGAGAATTCTTTCTCAAATGGTAGTGTAAGGTGTGTGTCTTACAAGTGATATGGGGGGCTATTTATAGCCAAAAAAGTAAAAATTATATAGTATTTTCTAATGTCATTCATGATGTCATTAGGAGTAAGTGCTAGCTGATGTCATGGATGATGTCAGCTGTGATATCATTGTGATGTCATGCTGATATAATTTCTGATTAATTTTTCAGGACATTAAATCAAGCTCTTCTTCTTCTTCTTCCTCTGATGATTTGTCAGACAAAGCTGCTTGATTTTGTTGACCTGAAATTTGTGTCTTGAGGATATCAAGAATTTGCTCCATTTGCTGAATAAAATCGAACCTGCTGCTGGAACCGGCTAGTTGTGCACTTGCAATGGACTTTTGTTGTAAAAATAAAATTTGAGCAGCATCTATTATAGCTAGATACTGCGGATGGGATAGAAACCACTTGTCTACCGCAGGTACATAGGTTTCGGATGAATCCCACATTTGATACCATTTGCAGTGTCCTTGGAGGGCTAACCACGGTAGTCCTTTATGTCCTTCTGGCTTGTGGAAGGAAAACTTCTAGGAGTATATCCATGGGATATGAAATCGGTGGGAAAATTGGAGGAGTATGGGTATTTGCTGTTCACTAGAAAACCTATGACAGAAATAATCGTATCCTTCTTGTAATGGTGTTGGGAGGATTTCAGCTCTATGACCATATACAGGCCACCATTGATGTATAAACCACTGAGGGAATTCAGAGCTTAATTGTTTACTCCAGAGGATGAACCATGAATGCTTTCCAAGTTGGTTTTGGAAGGTGAAAGCATTCATCCACGCTGCCTGGTAGTTATAGTAATTGTAAAATTGTGGATCAAAAGGCTGAGAAAGTCTTTTGTATTTGGCTGGATGGGTTCCCCATTCTTTTGGTGAGATTATTTTGTTAATCCACACCATAGTATGTGTGACATATGATTAGGTTTGCTTTTCTTTGTGGGGCTTAAACAAGCAGGATCTGGTATCTGTGAGAATAAACTCATAATATTTTTGGGTATGTTCGTGGGTGTTTTGAATGAAATTGGCTGAAGGGCTAAGTATTTTCTTAGCTACCTCTTGGGGGTTGGAAGGCCAGAACTCTGGTTCAATTTGAATGAGTGGGTAAACACTTTCGTTCTTAATATAAGTGGGATCCTCGGAGGAGGAGCCTATATATATATATATATATATATATATATATATATATATATATATATATATATATATATATATATATATATATAACACAAAATAAAAATTATTAAAAATATTAGTATATTTTAAAAAAAAATTAAAAGACTTATTTTTTTTTATATTTTTGTTGAATTCAAAATTATAATTTAACCAAAGAAAAAAGATATTACAAATTTTTAATTACAAGTAGAATGCAAAAGGAGAAGACTAATCAAATATTACAATAGAAAAGACTGTATAAAAAGAGAATGATAAAGATAACATTAGAATATTTATAATTTATATTAATTAATACAAATAAGAGGTAAGTAAATAACACATAAAAAAATATTGATAAATTTAGACCATTAAAGAATTTAAACAATAAAAATAATAAAAATATTTTCATAGTAAGAAAAAAAATGTGTGTGTGTGTATATATATATATATATATATATATATATATATATATATTATTTTAGAAAAATAGACCATTATATTATATATGTTATCTTTATAGAAAAATAGTTACAAAATATTAAGCCAATTGACAAGTTAATAAAACGTCACCTTAGTAAATATTTAGTACTAAGTACTTGCTAATTTTATAAAAATAAAATAAGAAATAAATATCTTATTTAATTACCATATAATGTGTATCCTTTAATTATATAAATTTTGTTATATTTCTGCACACTGTACTAAAAAATGAAATAGCAACTAAAATTTATTAAGTAATATGATATATTATATCATAATTTCATAAGATTCTTTAAGTTTATCCGCGCATGGCGCGAGGTATAACACTAGTTATAATGGTGGGCGATGTTTCAAAATTTATTTTCTTTTCTGACGCCTAAAGCTCAGGAATTAGGATAGCGAATATATATATATATAAAAATTTTATATATTTTTGTGGCTACATGATATAAATAATTTCGATCGCGGGCTAAAAATAATCTTTTGAAAGTACGACGAGAAACCAAGAGCTTTTGGCGGTTTATTTTACAATTTTCTTAATTTTAAAAGCTTAAAAAACATATTCTAGTTTATCCTTGTCATTCATAATTTCTTATGACTATAGTTTTGAATTATTATCTGTTCACCTCAACAAAAACTGTAATCTAGTCTTAGTGCTATACTCAAGCGGATTATATATTTTTATACAGAATAAAAATATGCACGCAAAAAGTAGCAATAGTAATATTTAACGAGTGATTAATGCAAAAATAGTTGTAAACTTTGGTAGATAGATCCAATTGCATAATTTTTTCTTATATGCCAAATCTTATTAGATAGAATTATTCAGATATTTATATTAATGGAGTAGGTAGATAGCAATTACCTACACATTAAATCATTTAGTCCCGGACATGCATGTTGTGCATTTAATTCTTAGACTATATTTTAAACTTTACTACCTCTGACAAATTTAATTCTGTGGAATCTTCGAGGCAAACATTTAGACCAATCAGTATGTGTACTACTTACACTATTACTTTATCAATTTATGTTCTAGCAAATCAAATGGAAGGTAACAGGAAATGATTGACATATATTTTACATTAAAGTAACTAAATTTAGGAAATAATAATATTTTAATAGGTGGATTAAAGTAACTTAAGGAAGAAGTATGCATGGCGGCTGAACTATAAAAACAAAACCAGAAAAAGGAAGATCACCAGTTTTGCATTATGAGTTGAGTTCACAACTTTAGGAAGAAAAAGATATTGTACATTGTGGAAAGCATGATTAATGGAGATATACCTAAAACCTTTTTTGTTTTTATCTGCTAAATTTTAAAGAATTATAATACAAGAAAAGGTTAGGAGGAACAGATCTTAGTTGCATATAATTAAAATCATTACTTACTGATTTTTTTTGGGAGAAATTCAAAAATAGCCAGATTTACAAGTGGTCGTTCAAAAATAGCTCAGTTTCAAAAGTAATCGAAATCTAGTCACTTTTCATGTAAAAATAAATCTGAGCGAAAATACTGTTCAAAGCCCGAAAAATACACCAGTATATTATGCTGGAGTTACAAAATAAGTATACTTGAACTCCAGCATATTATACTGGAATTCCAGGATAAGTATGCTAGAACTCCAGCATAATATGATGGAGTTCCAGCATAAGTACACTAGAATTTCAGCATAATATACTGGAGTTCCAGCAAAAGTATACCGGTCGAGTATAATATGTTGGAAGTTCATACACAAGTGCTCGAATCTCCAGTATATTATGCTGGAACTTTCCGTGTGTTGGAGTTCCAGCATAATATGCTGGATGTTCATACAAAGGTGCACCGAACTCCAGTATATTATGTTAGACCGGTCTCTATTGCAGCAAAATAGTGGCTATTTTTTATTGACTTGGTAAACACTGGCTATTTTTGAATGACCGGTCCGAAAACTAGCTAGACCGTGCTATTTTTACGATTTTTTTCCTAACACAAGTTGATGGTGGGGGAAATTAAAAATTCTATTATCGTACAAAGACTATGTGAGCTTGAACTATGAATTGGAGTCTTCTTAGTTTTTCATTTTACCTTTAACGGCATGCTTTTATAGCATTGCAGAATCTCAAGTTCCAAAAGATTTTCTTTCTTCGTTGTATTTGCCAACAAAACATGGAAACTATAATGTATAATCACTCTAAAAAATAATAACCGAAAAATATTTTTTTTGTATATTAGTTTATAATATGCATATCTTATACAAAATTAGTGTATATTTTTTTTTTTATATATAACTAGCATATATAATTGGGAAACTTACACAAATGTTCCATATAAATCTCAACTTACCAACCTCTAACCATTAGTCATAGACTTACCAAAACTAGCCAACAAAAATTGAAAACCCAAATAATAGGGTTCTTTCTATCAAAGAATCACATGCAAAAATCACCTTCCATATTTTTAAGCGTAATTAGCAACATTAGATACAAGACAGAAAAGAAATTTCATGGACGGGGTAGCAAATAAGGTGATGAAATATAAAAATCTATACAATATTCCAAAAATTCTAAACAAAACAGGAACTTTTTCAATGGGTATAGTTGAAATTCATCGAAAATATATAGATAAGTCAATATACAAAATTTGAGGAAGATTGGAGGTGATTTGGACTAGTTTTGTATCAAAATTCTTAATTAAATCGAGTTCAAAAAAGTCTTCTGCGACACACGTATCAAACATGTATCACGCATGTATCTCACACACAGGTTTACATGGATATACACGTGATACACAATTGATACAAATATGATACATATATGATACACAAATGATACACATATCATTTTTTTTCATGTTCAGCTTTTACTTCGAATTTTCAATTCAAACCACCTCAAAACTTCACCAAATCATCCCAAAAATGAGATTCAAGCTCCTTAAGTTGCGCTCAATCTATTCTAATAACACCCACTCAAAACAAAGCAAAAATTTTATATTTTTTTGCTACAAATAGCTAATTGGCTAATTTGGCTAATATTAGTAATATTTTATCAATTGGCCAACTTTTGTAATGAGTTACTTATAAATGGACATAGCTGGTAATTCCGCTATATAATTATTATTGTCGACCGGCTGAATGTATAATTATTATTGTCGACCGGCCGAATGTATAACTTTCCCTAATAACTTTCAATCACTTTGCCCAATGGGCTTCTAACGATACCATCAAGGAATTTTTACCTCCTATAGCAAAGGTTAACACCTTATTTATTTTAAATAAATACCATTTAAAAAAAATTATATTCTATAGATACCTTTTAAGGTTTATAGCAAATTATTTAATTTTGGTTACCTCCTAGTCCTAAACCACTAAAT